TCAAGGTCTTCAAGAGGCTTGCAGGGAATCTGCATTGCCTTGCAGAACAGTGGAAAGGTGGGTAAAAGCCTTCAACGAGGGACACTGCTCGTAAACACTTGGAGAGCTATGAGCAGAAAGGAGAGGCTTTCTTATGCCGTATCACTACGCTGAATGAGACATGGGCCAAATCGTACGAGCAACAAATGAAACACCAATCGAACGAATGGCATCATTAAGGGTCACCACGAAAATCAAAAGTTCGTCAGAACCCCAGCAATATGAAAATTATGGTGATTCTCGTGTACGACTGTGATGGTGTTATCCTAATGCACACCGTTCCCCGACAGCAGACCATAAATGCGCAGTATTACTGTTCATTTTTGGAACACAACCTGCAACCAGCTTTGAGAAATAAGTGGCCACACTTTCTGCAGAACCCACCCATCATGTTGCAGGACAATGCTCGGCCGCATGCAGCGCAAGCTGTGGCTGATTTGTTCGGTCGATGGGGCTGGGAAGTGCTGTACCATCTACCATACTCCCCGGACTTAAGCCCTTGTGACTTCGACTTGATCCCTAAGATGAAGGAACCACTTCCTGCCATTCGCTTCAGAACTGTTCCAGAGATTCTTCAGGCAGTAGACCGCTCCATTCAAACTATCAACACAACGGGCGCTGCTAAAGGTATCCCACAACTTCCACATCTCTGGCAACAGGTTGTACACAATGCTGGTGATTACATTGAAGGATAGTAAAACTTCAAAACATGCGTCTATTTTGTATCAGTTGTAAATAAATAGTTGCCACTATTAAAGTTCCAACCCTCGTAAATGATGTAGAGGGTAAAGAGTAGTATCATGTTGAAATCTGAAATATGTTGGCAGCTTTGGAAAACTTGCACACTGAGGTGGATGTTAATAAAGCTTGGGTAACTATTAGAGAGAATATCAAAATTTTTGTCAAAGAGAGTCTAAGTTATTGTATACTGAAGAATGCATGAGCATAAGCCATGGTTCGACAAAGACGCTCAAAATTATTAGACCAAAGGAAAGAAGCCAAATTGCAGTGGTTACAGGATCCAAGAAAAATAAATGGAGATAATCTGAACAATACAAGACATGAAACCAGCAGGCATTTCAGGAAAAAGAGGAAATATCTGAAAGACAAAATTGATGAGCTTGCAATGGACAGTAAGAAAAAGAACATTAGAGACCTGTATATAGGAATAAATGACTTTAGGAGGGATTATCAACATAGAAGTAACTTAGTGAAGGATGAGAATGGTAATCTGCTTGCAGATACCCACAACATTTTGAATAGGCGGAAGAACTACTACTCTCTGTTACTGAATGTACATAGGGTCAGTGATATTAGGCAGACAGAAATCCATAAAGCAGAGGCGTTAGTACCTGATCCTAGCCCTTTTGAGTTTTAAAGTGTTATTACAAAATGTATAAAAGGTATCGAAAAGGTATAAATTGCGAGGTAGTGGTCAAATTTTGGCAGAACTTATTCAAGCAGAAGGCGAAATATTATATTCTAAGATCCATAAGCTAATTACTTCTATGTATTTGGCATAAGGAAAAATTGCCTGATCAGTGGAAGCAGTCTATTATTGTACCAGTTAACAAGAAGGGTGATAAAGCTGACTGTAGTAATTACTGGGGGATATCACTGCTATCAACTTCATACAAAATTTTATTCAAAATTCTTCCCTCAAGGTTAAGTCCTTATAAAAATGAGATTATTGGGGATCAGCAGTGAGGGTTTTGACATAACAGATCAACTACAGATCAGACCTTTTGCATTCTTCAGATATTGGAGAAAAAATGGGAGTACGATGAGACAGTACACATCAGCTTATGATTCAGTTAGGAGGGAAGTATTGTACAATATTCTGATAGAGTTCGGGATATCCATGAAACTAGTTACGCTGATTAAAATGTGTTTAAATGAAATGTATAGTAAAGTCTGTATAGGTAAGTAGTTGTCTGATAAAATTCCTATCCAGAATGGTCTAAGACAAGGAGATGCTTTATCGCCATTCCTTTTCAACTTTGCTTTAGAATATGCCATTAAGAAGGTCAGGAAACAACCAGGTGGGACTGAAATTAAACAGGACACATCAGCTGTTAGTCTATGCCAATGATGTGAATCTACAGGATGATAATATAGATACCATAAAGAAAAACACTCAAACTTTAATTGACATAAGTAGGGAAGTTGGTCTAGAAGTAAACACAGAGAAAACTCTTCTCCACGTATAATTAGAACGATCAAGTCAAGGAGGATGAGGTGGGCAAGGCATGTAGCACGAATGGACAAGACAAGGAATGCATATAGGATATCGGTGGGAAAGCCAGAAGGAAAGAGACCACTGGGAAGACCAAGACATAGGTGGGTGAACAATATTAAAATGGATCTTAGAGAGACAGGATGGGATGTTATGGATTTGATTGATCTGGCTCAGGATAGGGAGCAGTGGAGGGCTCTTGTGAACACGGTAATGCACCTTCGGGTTCCATAAAATGTTGGGAAATTCTTGAGTAGCTGCAGATTTGGCTTCTCCTCAAGAAGGGGTCAGCTCCATAAGTAAGTAACTATAGTCCATTCGCAGAGACGAGACAGTTAGCGTAAACAAAGCAAGCCCCGAGTCGCCAGAGCTGAGGGCAAGGAGTGGACAAAGCGCGCAGTTACTCAGTGTCATCACTGCATTCGGACGCATATTAACCTGCAGTCAGACTGAAGAGTGAACTTTGGACGCCCCTCCAACGATACACGCATCACGTGATCGCTACATGATTTCATTCAAACAGCCAAGGAGATACCGGGTGCATTTGTTTATGAGGACTCTCTCATCTCCGCGAATGGACTGTAAGTACATATGGATTTAACCTTGACAGAAAGATATCGAATAAAATTTTGTATGAAGTTGATAGATGTCAGTGATATTCCACGATAATTACTAGTCACATCTATCTCCCTTCTTGTAAACTGGTAAAATAATGAAGTCCTTCCACTCATCAGGCAATTCTTCTTTACTCCAAACAGAATTATTTTCTTTATGAATCTCAGACCGTAATGTTTCATCTCCTGTTTGAATGATTTCTGCTGGAATTTGATCACTTCCTGGTGATTTATATCTGTTCAACTTTGCAAAATAAAACTGCAATTTCAACCTCAAAAGGACTAGAATCGTGTACTAATGCCTCTGCCTAACATCACTGATCATATGTCCATCCAGTACCTAAGAGAAGTAGCTCTTCCATATATTTAAATGTTGTGGGAGTCTGAACACTGATCATCATCCTGATCTTTCATTAAGTTACTTCTAGGTTAATAACCCCTCTTAGTAAATTTATTCCTCCATGAAGGTCTCTAATGATCTTATTTCTGTTCGGTGCAAGCTCATTAATTTTGTCTTTCAGATATTCACCCTTTTTAAGATTTGAGGTTTTCACGGTGGTGACTTTGACGAAAGCAGTCTTCTGGGATATGTGCTGTGTAGATATTGTGTTAACCGACGTTTCGGAGGAACGTATCGCCTCCATCTTCAGGGTAGAATACAAAAATAAAATCCGCAACTGAAGAACAAGCGTGAGCAGGTGCAAACAGACTAATGTCAAGAATAGACTCAGCTGTATAAGAGCAGGAAGAGAAGGGGGGGGGCAGCAGGTATAAAATACTGTCGGGGGGGAGAAAGGCAAGGTTAATGGGAGGGCATTAACCCTTAAGCTTGGGGCCTTGTGGGTCTGGCATCATGTCCAGGAGGTTTCTTGAGGGAACAGATGAGAGGCTTCCATGACTTGCTGAGACAAAACTCCACTTCTCTGTTCATACTGTCGGGATTGAGTTCAATCTCAATGGCCTCCGTAATGATGCGATCCATATAATGGGTCTTGGTGGCGAGGATGGAGGTATTCTGTCCCAAATCGATCTTTCTTCTTCTACCCTGAAGATGGAGGCAATACGTTCCTCTGAAATGTCAGTCATATATTGTTCAGATTATCGCCATATACATGTGTTTCACCTGGACCCTGTAACCACTGCAATTTGGCTTGTTTCCTTTGTTCTAATAATTCTGAGCATCCTTCGTCAAACCATGGCTTATGCTTCTTCAATTCATGATAACCTAGACTCTCCTTGGCAGAAATTTTGATACTTTCTCTAATAGTTTCCCAAGCTTTATTATCATCCACCTCAGTGTTCAAGTTTTCCAAAGCTGTGAACCTATTAGAGATTTCAACACAATACTGCTCTTTACCCTCCACCTCATTTAATTTCCTGAGGTTCAACCTCTCCATATGAACTCTGTGTATTGTTTGTTTGCTCACTGCCAGTCTTTCCCTTATTTTAACGACCACCAGATAGTGGTCAGTATCGCATCTGCTCCCTTCAATGATTGGACATCAAGTACACTTGAATGCCACCTCCTGTCCATCAAAATATGTTAAATTTGATTGTGAATCTTTCCATCAGGAGATGTCCAAGTAAATTTATGTATGTTACTATGTGGGAACAATGCACATTTGACAATCAGATTTTTGGATGTATACAAAATTCACAGAAAATCTAATTAAATATGATTGGAAATATGAAGCTTAAAGCAACCTTATGCATATTATCAGAAATTAAATGCAATTTTTTTTTAGTTTTCCAAAAAAGAATTCATTGTACAGAGAAATCTGAATATAACAAATTTCTCCCATTATAGTCTATAATCTTTATATGGAATGCTTTGCAGTGTTGTGTACATTTACCAAGAGAAACATTTAGACTCATGTAGGATTTGAGGTTCCCACAGCCATGGTCATGAAGTGTTCTAGCTTTATGGGATAAACACTGTGTAGTCTGGTCAAACTTTTCATATGACCATTTCTCCCACAATCTTTTCCATTATTACTTTCCTACCAGATCTCATTCAACCCTATCCAGTTTACACAGTGAGATTAACAAAAGGAGAGATTTTGAACAAATAGGTTTTATAGTCTCATTTTGCACACTGTAATGGTACTCACTCAGACTGCAAAGAGAAATCCAATCCCGTGGATTGACTTGCTGCTGAAGATGCCATTTCAGATGAAGGTGCTCTTGATGGCCCTGCCGTAAGACACTGTCCACAACATCATGTCCTTGGTTCACAACAACAAGCTGATTTCCACTGAAACAGTCTTGCCATTCAGATGCCCTCAACGTCCTGCTATGAGATTTACATTTGCTATTCAATACTAGTTCTGCATCATTTTCCCCCATATTTTCATGACTTTGTACACTAGCAATACTTCCGTCCACGCTTCTGTACTGTGTATCTTCATCACTGCATAAGTGACCAATTACACCACTGTTATTAATGGTGCATATCTGTTCGACTTTGTCATCAAGTGCATTCACTCCATCACTCAAATTCTGTCTATCAATGACAAATGTAGCTTCATCTTCCTTTCTGACATTAGTATCACTTAAATTTTCAAAATTCCTGTTGTCATTATCATTCTGACTTCTCCCACCTTTATCTTCAACACGAAACATCTGTAAGTTTTCTAGCAGCTCGGATTTGTCCATAGCGTGAGTATCAATAAATGGACTAACTAGTCGACAGTGTTCTAGAGTTCTTTTCTTCTGATGATCTTCAAAATTAAACTCTTCACTATTTCCCTTCTCTTTTCCCTCAGTGTCTTCTTCCGTTTCTTCCACATCCTGACTGGACCCATTATTCCCATTATCATCCAACTGAACTTCTTCCAAGTGGCTGTCATCAGAATTGGCTGCAAAACACAAAAGTGCTAATTAATATATGGAAGTTAACTACACAGCATCACATCCCAGAAGATGATAAATTTCATGCAATATACACTTTGTTTCTTCTGCAATTAATGACTGCAAAGAAACTTGTTTACATGCGGTACATACCATCAACGACCCAAGGCTGCAATATGAAATGGTGATTAAGGACCCACCTAAAGTGGCCATTCACAACCTTTACACTGTTCATTTTAAGGTGACATCCCTTGTTGTTGCCTCCATACAACTCTGATACTTTTGTTCTAATCATATTTCTACCTTGACACAATAATAGCAAGAAACAAGAGGAAAAAGTGTACTCCAGTTTGAAGTATAAATGTGTTCTATGGAATGTCACATGTCTTACTGAAGTAAAAGGTAAGGCTATTCTGTAAAGGCTGTGAATGCCCATAGGGTTGTGAGACGTCAAGGCTAAACATTCTGTCAAGAAAGTCGGCTCACAGATGGCAGTTCCAGGGCCACAGTGGCAACTGGAAGGATTAGGTAAATTGGGAAGAAAAAAAAAACACACACACATCTCATCGGGGCTCGAACCTGTGATCTTCCAGCTTGTAGCATAGTGCCTCAACCAACTACGCTACCGCATGCACCCATGCCTTAATGATCTTGGTGAAATTCTCACTGCAGGTCAATTAAATTAAATTTATTATTCATACTATTTTATTAAATGTGTAATCTTGGAGCTTTAAAACTTGAATGATGCCATTACTTCAACCATCTCCTTTAATTATTACTAGGCCAACATATCATATCATTATTCATATGACTCAGTATTTAAACACTGAATGGATATTATATATTTATGAATTACATCAACTTTATTATCATTTGAACGAAGCTCACTTACATCACCAGAATCAATTTCTGATTAAATACAACAGAAACAAACAATGAAAATAGTCAGTTCTGAAATGTTGCAAATACAGGATGGGGCGCAGGAACTTCCTTTCTTTGAAGGCGAATAAAAGAAAAATTATTGCTGATAGACAAAATTTATGTTTAGCTAATGAAAGAACATACTTCAAAGTTTTAAATCATGTCGTTTTAAACAAAATATCTTGAAGGTGGTGGCCACCGTTCTCTATGCACTGATGCAACCGTTCTCTGAAGTTCCCCTCAGCACGTTCCAACATGTGCACCGGAATTTGGGCTACTTCCTGCCGAATAACATTCTTCACCTGAAGCAGGTTTGTGGGGTGATGTTTAAAAAACTCTGCCTTGAGGTATCTCCAAAAAAAAAAATCACAGGGTGTTAGATCAGGTGAGTGCACTGCCCATGGGATGTCACCTCGAAGTGAGATGAGCCATCCGGGGAACTTTGCCCTCAAAACTGTCATCGAAGCTCGGGCTGTGTGGGCCGTGGCACCATCCTGTTGGAACCAGACATTTCCTAGATGCATTTTCAAGAGCTGGTTCGAAAAAGTTTTTAATCATGTCCACATACCGCTGTGAATTGACAGTAACTGTATGATTTTCTTAAAAAAAATAAGGACCAATAACTCCAACTCTCAACAACGCACACCATACTGTCACCTTATCACTGTGAAGTGGCCTCTCATGGAGCTCTCTGGGATTGTTACCATTCCAATAGCGCATATTCTGCTTGCTGACATATCCGGTTAGGTGAAAATGTGCCTCATCACTAAAGAAAACAAGTGTGTCAGGGGGTAAAGTTTCCAAAAAACGTTTCGTATGCCGTTTTTGGTTCTGGAAATCATGTGGTGACAACTGCACAACAACCATCTTATAGGGATGGGAAAGAAGATGTTGTGAAGAATTCGGCTTATTGAACGACTGGATATGTCTAGGGTGACTGCATGTTTGCGAGCGGAGTGTCTTGGAGATCTGAAATTCGACTGTCAAACTGCCTCCACATTTTCTGGCGTCGTAACGGTCCATTGTCGTCCTGATGATTTTTTCACCACACTCCCGGTTGTCCTAAAGTTCTCTACCCACAAAACAATCGATTTCCAGTTGGGAACCAGACCTCTAGGCTTAATTCCAAAGTGAGTACAGAACACACGCTGCACCGCCACGTAGGAATGGTTGTTCGAAAAATAGGCTTCGACAGCAAATGCACACTGCTCACTCGTCCACCTCATGTTTCCTACTGAGGGGTATCAGACAGAAACTTCCGTGACTGCTGCGTTCGCCGAGCCTATCTCCACTTTTCTGCGACCTCCACTCCCTTCACAATGCGTCTTCACAAAAAGGGAGTTTCTGCGCCCCACCCTGTAAAACTGTATTCACATTATCTAATTGGTAAAAAGTAATATTTTTGCCATATAAAAAATGCTTCAAATAAAAGTTTGAAATATTAGGGACATACATTTTACGTTATGACATACCATTTCGAAAAGAACAGATAAAGTTTCAGTTGAGCGTCATGCAGAATGTGGTTTATAGCTGGTCTTGTTAATAGGAGTGACAGAACCCATAGAATCTTTTCCTGCTGTCCCATAATTGTGGTTCCCTATTTTATGTACACTATATATTATAATACCTAGAAAGTACACAGAAATTTGCATGTATGCAGCTGTTGGACCAAAAATTTGTTTTTTCTTGACAAACGCCTCCACAAATATTGCAAAACTTGAAGGTAGAATACTTATTTGACATTTTTAAAGCAACTGGTTCATAATGAATAATTCCTGTGACATCCAAACAACAGATCATCTGGGTTTTGACTTTCAATGTTAACCTTTTCAGCCTTGGAGACTTTGACTTATCCATTAGAGTTTGGGAGCTGCTTTACTGCTTTTTCCAAAAGTATGGAATCTTCCAAAAATCTTGTTGTAAAATTGGAGGAAACTTCATGCTACCAAGAATTTTCAAACCATTTTGACACAGACTTCCTTTTCGGTCACAATAAATCTTACAGGTTCTCTTTTCATGTTACAGTCTTATTATCTTTTGCATAATCAATTACTGATCACTTCTTACCATTTCAGTCACATTTCCCACAGGCCTCTTGAATTTCTGGATCTTCCACCATTTGATAATCCTTCCTTTCTGTCTTTAACTTGCTTAACTCATTCGAAAATATGTGTCCTGTTCACTGTTCGCTTTCACAAACTTGCTGCAAGATTTTGAAAATGTTACTGGCGTGCTTCACCAACGCCACTGAAACTCTCAATGCTCCTTCTCTGGTATATCAATTTAGCACCCACAGTTCAAAAAAAAAAACAGTGAGCCAATACACTTAATGCTACCTTAAAGCAAACGGAATCCCAGCAAAACTGCTGAACCATGTAGTCACATGATCCAACCCAGTTAACTCTCCAGGGTTTCAGTTGCTGCACAAACACAACAGCCTGCTTACTTAACCGACAGACTTCATGTAGGCAAATGATAGTCAACTGTAGCTTCAAGGATTTATGCAATACCCTAAGTGTCTTATGGTATACACTGGGTAGGTACCCATATGAAATAAAATCTCAAAGTGTTTAGTAAGGTCGTCTCAGTTTGTTCTCACATCTACACTAAATCTTCTGCAAAACTTACTTACTTACTTACTCGTGGAGCTCAGCCCTTCTGGAGGAGCCACCAATTCTGCAGCTACTCAAGAATTTCCCAGCAATTTATGGAACTCAAAAGTTCATTACCTTGCTTACAAGTGCCCTCCACTGGTCCCTATCCTGAGCCAGGTCAATCCAATCCATAACATCCCATATAACATATCTAAGATCAATTTTAATATTGTCCACCTGCCTATGCCTTGGTCTTGCTTGTGGTCTCTTTCCTTCTGGCTATCCCACCAATATCCTACATGCATTCCTCTTCTCCCCCCATTCGTGCTACATGCCCTGCACACCTCATCCTCCTTGACTTGATCATACTAATTATACTTGGAGAATAGTACAAGTTATGAAGCTCCTCATTATGTAGTTTTCTCCAACCTCCTGTCACTTCATCTCTCTTCGGTTCAAATATTCTCCTCAACACCCTGTTCTCAAACACCCTCAGTCTATGTTCCTCAATTAATGTCAGAGACCAAGTTTCACACCCATACTGAACAGGAAAAATTATAGTTTTATATATTATACTTAGTATGTTTTTGGACAGAAGACGAGAAGACAAAAGGTTCTGGACTGAATGGTAGCAAGCATTACCCCAGTTCAATCTCCTCTTAATATCCTCCTCAATCAGGTTTTGACCTGTTATCATTGTTCCCAAATATCTCAATTGTGCCACATTTTCAAAATAATCTGTTTCCTATCTTTATGTCATGATTTTGCCCTGCATTTTGGTGAAGAGACAGCAACATATACTTTGTCTTCCCTGTGTTTACTTCTAGACCAACCTCCTTACTTTCGTTAATTAAAGTTTGTGTGTTTTTCTTTATGGTATCTACATTATCACCCAGGAGATTCACATCATTGGCATAGGCCAACTGCTCATGTGTCCTGTTTAATTTCAGTCCACCTGGCTTCCCTGGACCTTCCTAATGACATATTCTAAAGCAAAGATGAAATGGAGTGGTGATAAAGCATCTCCTTGTCTTACACAATTCTGGATAGGAAATTTGTCAGACAACTGTTTATCTATACTGACTTTACTATACATTTTGTTTAAACACATTTTAATCAACCTAACTTGTTTCATGGGTATCCCAAACTCTATCAGAATATTGTACAATACTTCCCTCCTAACTGAATCATAGGCTTTATTGAAGTCTATGTATAACTGGCATATGATAACAGTACAGTACTACTAGAAATCATTATGAAATCAATGACAATTCTACACCCTTAAATACGAGTAATATTGTTATACGGTGCCTAATATGGAAGTACAACCCAGTACCTTGGTACTGGTATTCACTTAGAAACAACTGTCAGTTGCCCAAAACATTCAGACCTCTGCTGGCCCCCTGATCTTGTTAGGGACCTCCAAGAGCCCTCACCATAATGCTAGAAACAGAATCATTGTGATTGAGGCCATCCTGATATGTACTGGCTTTAACCACAAGGAATCAAAGATACCTATTCTATGCCTTGCCAGAGCTTGTCATTGACAATGTGTATAATACAATTTCTCTTCCTCTTACATGATGCTTTCCATGAAGCCTGCAATATGTGTCCAACTCCCGAAGAAAACTTAAGAAAGTTCCTTCTTCACTAGATGTTAAGTTTGCTTTAACCAATCGATTTGAACCTCTAGCTATGCTAGGGCCTCAGACTGATGGTGACGCTATAGATCAGCCTGTGTCAGAGGCTAAGCCTAAGCGTAAGATTCTAGTGCTGGGTAGCAGTCATGGTAGGGGTATCGGGCAGAGGCTACAGAAAGCAATGGGAGATGCATATGCTGTGACCAGCATATTCAAGCCCAATGCTGATCTGAGCAATGTCACTGGGGACACTGGAATATTGTGCAAAGGTTTTAGTAAAGAAGATCAGGTAGTTATAGTTGGGGGGCCAGGTAACAGTTTGGAGAGAAATCTCAATTATCGAATTGAGAAAGATTTAAGTGACATTGCCCAGAAAACTAGTCACACCAATGTGAGGTTTGTTGGTCTTCTCTGGCGACATGACAAGCCATGGATTAACAGGTGTGTAAGGGAGATTAATCTTCGGCTTGAGCGTT